GGGTCCTGGAGGGTGCATGGGAGTTCGCCCATCCGGTCTATATGTGATTTGTGGACTTGGAGATGGCGTTCGACCGTGTCCCTCGGGGAGCCCTGTCGGGGCTTCTCCAGGAGTATGGGGTACTAGGCTCTTGATACGGGCTGTCAGGTCACTGTATGACCGGTGTCAGAGTCTGGTCCGCATTGCCTGCAGTAAGTCGGGCTCGTTTCCAGTGAGGTTTGGACTCCGCCAAAGCTGCCCTTTGTCACCGAATCTGTTCATTACTGACATTGACAGAATTTCTAGGCGCAGCCAAGGTGTTGAGGGGATCTGTTTTGGTGGCCTTAGGATCGCATCTCTGCTTTTTTGCGGATGATATGGTCCTATGAGCTTCATCAGGCTGTGATCTACAACTCTCGCTGGAGTGGTTCGCAGCAGAGTGTGAAGAGGCCGGGATGAGGATCAATTAGGATAAGTGCCTCCAAATCCGAGGCCATGGTCATGAGCCGGAAAAAGGGTAGCATGCCTTCTCCGGGTTGGGGGCGGGGGGTGTCCTGTCCCAAGTGGAGGAGTTTAAGTATTTCGGGATCTTGTTCATGAATGAGGGAAGAAGGAAGTGGGAGATGGACAGACAGATTGGCGCAGCATCTGCTGTGAAGTGGGCGCTGTACCGGTCCTTCGTGGTGAAGAGAGAGCTGAGCCAAAAAGCGAAGCGAAGCGGTCGATCTATGTTCTTATCGTCATCTATGGTCATGAGCTTTGAGTGATGACCGAAAGAACGAGATCACGGATACAAGCGGCCGAAATGGGTTTTCTCCGCAGGATGTCTGAGCTCTCCCTTAGAAATAGGGTGATAGAAGCTCAGTCATCCAGGAGGGACTTACAGTAGAGCCACTGCTCCTTCACGTCGAGAGGAGGCAGCCTAGGCTGGTCGGGCATCTGGTACGGATGCCTCCTGGACGCCTCCCTGGTGAGGTGTTCCGGGCACGTTCCACTGGGAGGAGGCCCCGAGGAAGACCCAGGACATACTGGAGGGACTATGTCTCTCGGCTGGCTTGGGAACCCCTTGGGATTCCCCCCGGGAAGCTGGAACAAGTGGCTGGGGAGAGGGAAGTCTGGGCCTCCCTTCTGAAGCTGCTACCCCCTCGACCCGACCCCGGATAAAACGAAAGAGGATGGTTGGATGGATGAATGGAAAGAAAACATGCTCTTAATTAAACTTTTGTACCTAGTTGAATGAAAAAGTGAATAAGGTTGCATGCAGGATGATTATTGAACGTTGTAAGAGGACAGTTCATATATCTAATAAAATATTTAGGAGGATTATACAGATAAATAAAGGAATTAATATCAAGAATGTAGCTTGACAATGAAACAAAATAGTGTGAAATTATGTAGAGAATAAATAAATACACATAGTTCAGGAAGAATTTAGTCTTTAATATTCATAATGTAAAGTGTCCACAACAATGCAAAACGCACTGCAAGATTAGAATGGGTTTACCACTCTTAGAATATATATTATTTGAAAAGTATATATATAAATCTGTAGGTCTGAGGCAGAAGTTGCCCATAAAGACTAATAAATTAGGGCAGCATGGATTCAATTACGCTTATAAAAAAATAAATACTGTATATATTTTTTTTCTGCCATGAGTTAATCTATAAAGCTTTCAAACTGATTGATTGCTGCTGAAAACACATTGTGATTTCATTAACTGTCATGTTTCAAAGTCCAGAGTTGTAAATGAGATGTGTTTTTAGTGCTGTGATGGAGCTTCTGGTCCAGTAGAGTGAGCGGGTTCATGTGTCGGGTCAGAACCGGATGGCCAGCACCATCAGCAGTCCCAGTATGATGCACAGAGGGCTGTGGCTCTGTGCCAGCCCTGCTGACAAATCTGCCGGAGCAAAATGAAACCAATACAAATGTAAAGCAATGCAAAACGTGACAGAAAGTTAGTGTTTTTCATCAGCAAAAAACTGGATGCTATATCAGTAGTAAAAACCCTAAACAAACATATTCCTATGGAATCAGTATTAGATTACAACAATTTCATAGGCTTTGACTTTGTGTTTTACCTATGTTTCTTTTCCAGCAAGTCAGCACCATGTCTACAGCTCTCTTCTGGACATCTGTCAGAGCCGCGCGCTGCTGTGGAGTCAATGCATAAGCCTGCTCATAGGTGAACATGTTGATCTGGTCCTGGTGAAATACCACCTTGGAGAAACGGCCAAACACACAAGAAAGCAGTTGAACATGGCGGCAGCAGAAGACAAAATGAGAATTTAATGGAAGAACTGCAACAAAACTCACTCTGCGGGAAGCTTTTGATAAACATTAAACATCTGAACTTACAGAAAACTTCTTAGGTGGTATCATGGACATAGCCATGGGTGAGATTCCTTCGATTTGCTCTTTCACCAGAGATGACATGACAATGTCAGGAAGGCCAGCTGTGAACAGTTTCAAAGACAAAAGCATACTCAGTATGTTGGCATTTTTATATTTGTTTTTAGCTGATCTTATACCGTTTTATTATTGTTTTAATATAGGCAAGGCAAGGCAAGGCAATTTTATTTATATAGCACCTTTCAGTCAAAGACAATTCAAAGTGCTTTTACAGAGAAACAATACCAATCAGACAAGGCTTGTATGTATGTGTTTTTATTTTACTGTTATTTTATTGCATATACTGTTTAAATTTTTCTGCTGGTTGTTGAAACTCTGTTATTAAAATGAAGTTGCAATGGAAGCGAAGAATACAAGCCCTTTTTTATTTTTTTTGACCAAGAGTGGTGCATTTCTGCAGTTTAGGTGTGGAGAACCTTGATTTTTTTTTTTTTTTTTTTTTTTTACAGATTATCCGTCTCATGCCCCCCTGTCACAACATAGTGACACAACATAGTAACATAGTATACCAAATATATAAAATACCAGATTTTTTTTTTAATAAAAGGTACATACTGCAGCTTTAAGTGCACATATTTTATGTTTTATATAATTTGTGTTTTTCAGGAAACTTGGTTTCCAATTGTTAATCACTGTTTTACCCTAATTTGTTGGAATAATCCCTGGGGGAAAGAATTGTCCCACTTTGTTTTAATTAATTTGTTTTACTAATAAATGACAAATAATTTGGGCTGAGTTATCGGAAAATTAAAGGTATCAGTCAAAGTTGAACACTCAAGTCAAAGATCCAGTACCTGCCAGAGCTCCAATCTCAATAAACACATCTGTGCCCCATGAACTCATGAGTCCAAAAGCAAGACTGTTGGTGAGCAGCCCAACCAAAGCCCCCATCTGCTCCTCTGAGCAGGACAGGTTGAGCTTCCCCAGCCAGAGAACCGCCTTACTGCAGCCAGCAGGGGGAGACACAACACAAGAAGACTGTAAATACAAGAGCTACGCTGAGCTGAGAAAAATACAGCTTCTTCTCTGTGGTACCTGCTCTCACCTGAACTCCACATTGTTGAAAGTGTTGATCTCTGCGATTTGAGCTCCACACACAATGTGGCCCAGGGCCACCAGCATACTGGAGTCGAGCTTGCTTGGTGTCAGCTTGGTAGAGTTTAACACAGCGGTAAACAGTGCAGTCAGCTAGAAAGATGACCAAAACATAATGTTGGGTTAATCCTTGTCAAGACAACAGGATGTAAACTGGTGTGAAGAAGCATGATATGGTGCTGCTACATTAAAAAAAAAAAAAAAAAAAAAAGATTACTTTTCTCCCATTAAGATTACTACCTCTAACGTTTGTCTTCAAAATATTTAAAAACAAAAGTTTACATTTCGTAAAACATTACAGTGCAGAAATAGGCTACCTGTCTTTTGTTCCAGGTGTTGAGAGCTCCCAAAGCGCTAATACTCCGTCGCTCTGTCAGTCGAAGAGTACTCAGCTCCTCTGGTGACAGCTCTACTGCTATCCCACCCAGCTGAGCGATCACAGACTGGGAGAAGGAGGAGGCGGGTCCGTACATCTTCACATAGTGCAGAGTGACCCAGAAGAAGACAGAATTGACATCAAATGGTAAAACTCATCAGTGCTGTCTCGCCTGTGAGGTACTGACGTATGTCCCCCTGGTGGGTCTAACCTTTTTGACTCTTTTGAGAATCTCGGTACGCTGGTAGGACGCGAGAAACGGGTCCTGGCCTATCAGCTCCAGACAGTTGGAGAAGGCCGATGAAGACATGCTGCTGAAGCTGCTGGAGGTCCAAGCAGAGGGGGCCGTGGTGCGCAAGATCTCACAGGTAGGAACAATTGGAGACACTTAGAGACAAGAAACACAGAGACAAAAAAAAAAAAAGTGGTCTGGGGCTGCAACGTTTAAGTTCATCCACTGGTTTCTCATTGTTCATAAAAACCTCAATGAGAAATCAACCCAACAAGTTAAACACTTAGCACAATACTGAATTTCAGTTGTCTGTCTTTGTACTTCGGTTCTGTAGTTTACATAAACTTTTAGACAAAGATGAGCTGTCAAGTTTCCTTTGGAAGAAAAAAAAGCTTCAGTCTTAAAAGTCTGGTCTTTCACACGGAGAATACACTGATTTAGAATAAAATCAATTCTAACCAGAAATTCCTGCAACTCCTTACATATTTTTGTCAGCCTAATACCTCTAAATAATGAGACCTTTTTGAACTTTTGTAAGCTCTCTGCAAAGATGGCGTTGGTTAAATGATGAAAAAAAACAAAAAACAGATTAACTATAATTTGGGTTAGATGTAAACTCAAAAAGACTGGATGCTGAAATCGAATCAAAGGGTGTTTTAACAAAGTTAATTTAAGGATGTGCATATCTATGCAACAAAGTTACTGCAACTTTATACTTTTCTGATTTATACACTAACAGATATTGCTTGTCTTGCAGTTGAGTTGTACAGGATATACGTTGTATTCACATCACAAAAACCTGACATTTTAACTCTTTTTACATCAAGTGTACCACAGAGTAACTTTATATGAACCAAAGTGATGCTCACATGACAAAGAATTCATTTTAAGGAAGCCCAGGAAAAACTGCAGAACAAACTGCTGTTTGCTAAAGACATCCTTTCTTTCATTCGTGTCGGAGCAGAGGATCCCCACGTCGCCATCTTCCCACTGACGCTGGCTCATGAACAGCTTCTCTACGCGCCCCACTGTCATCAGCGACTGTGGGAACAAAAGCAAAAACACAATCGTGTGAGTGGGTAGTTCACAGGAAAACAGGAACTTCACCACCTGATCCCGAAACACGCTAGAGAACTGACACCTGAAGGGTTTCTTTTCAGCCTTTGTATGCCTGACCTGCCCTGAGATCATGTTCCAGTCAAGCAAAACCCACAATGGATATGTTACGGGAAAGAATCTCTTACAGAATCTGTTGCAGTGAACTCACCAATGGCAGGTCCTGCAAAACGTTAGAAGGCAGGAAGAAGAGAAACCGTCCCACTACACTTAGCGTGTCCTGGGTCCAGTTCGTCACTGGCCTGTAAGCAAGTACACAAATCCCTCATGAGCTCAACAGCTAACCATTCTACAAAGGCTTTTAAATGTTAGAATTTTACATGGAAACTCATCCGCGTAAGAGTTACAATTCACAAAAAAAATGGGAGCTGTAGATGTTACGAAAAGAAAACGGGGGCAATTTCAGACTTTCCTAGGTAGTTTTTCTTTTAGTCACAATAACATTTAGTTAATTAACTCCAAAACACATTGCAAATGGATTTAGATTACTTTTCATGGGAGTCATCTGAAGAAGACTTATTCAACCTGAATTTGCTCGGTTAGGAAGAACTGTCTGAAATTACTCTGGAAGTTTGAGACATACAGACTGAAGTTAAAATCTCTAACAATTTGACGAGGTATGAAAATAGAAGCCTAACTTAATTAAAATGTTTTAGCAGTTTGATAAAGCATAACTTTTCCATGCAGGGTAAAATATATATATCATCAAGATTTCAATTAAGCTCACACCATATTTAACCCTTTGTAATACACAATGTATTTTTCTAGCAAAGAGACTAACTGAATAGTTGTTTAGGCAAATGTTTTTCCAACACCTAAAGCAATTCTTTAGAGCTGAGATAAGTTGCGGTTTTCAAAATGTGCTTTATGAACAGCTTGGTTTCTCTTTAGTTCTCTGTACAATCGTTTCACATTTTCAGCATTGCTCTTTGTTTCTCATAGGTTGAATGATTTTTGAGTCTCTTTTCAGTCTGTGTTATCTTTACCCAAAAACAGCCGGTTCTTGCAGAATACGGGCCACGATTTCCATCTTGCTGCTGCTGTAGCAAAGCCTTTGGAGGTAATCCAGGTTTTTAGCGAAGAAGCTTCGATCCACCTGAACGAAAACTTCATCCGCCACAAATGGGGCCAGAATGTCTAGTGAACGAAACTCCTCTTCAGTGAATGGCCCGGTGTACATGTTCTACAGAGAAAAGTCAAAAACACCTGAGTGATAAAGCAGAGCACTTCAATTTCTGACTGTGAGGTAACGTATATAAAACAATGAGGTTTCTGATCTCAACTAGGTGTAAATTTGATTTACCGGTAATTGTGACCAAATTCAGGAGTTTAGATAATGCAGTTCTTCCTACCCAAAACTAAAGAAATATACAAGTTATTTGTAATTAGTTTGTTGCACATGAAAAATCCACAATTGTAACTCGTTTTTCAGATCCAGATCTTAGACAAAGCTCTGGCAACATTTCAAAAGAGACAAGTATTACAAAATTACTCCTGTGTGATCATATGGATGGAAACAACTACCAGTTTTTTCTTTGGTTTAGGTGACAAGCCACTTTGAGAAATCATATAGTGAAACATTTTGATTTGGAGCCCCCAAAAATATCTTCAAAAAAACTTTATGTATTAAGTGTTGAGAATAATATTGTTTAAAATAGTTTGTTGAGAATAATATTGTTTAAAATAGTTTTAATTCCTCAAAATCTGGACTCTTGTTTATTTGAATTTCAACATTACTAATATTATATAAGGTGGAGCGCGGGAGTTCGCCTACATACCATCCTCTGAATGATTTTGTCCACAAGAATCTCCTGCTGTATTCTAGTTAACATGAGAAAGTACTGAGGGGAGGCAACAATCATCTTCTTCAGAATGCCCATCATTTCTGCAGGAAACAACCTAATGATGTCCATCCTGAAAGCAGCGACATGAATACATACATGTTTTTTTTTTATTTTTATTTACACAGTCTAAAAATGTGTATATATGAAACATCACCGTTTACTTTATTGCTCTTCAGGCAACAAAGTAAGAAATTAGAAAATCTTGCTCTGCAGTCTCATCTTTACATGTTTCCTGTATTGTAAACTCATTCCAGTCTCTTTTTAAAAACAAAGCAACATGCAGCTTCAGAATAAATTATTTTAAGCAATCAGTACAAGAACACAAAGGACTAGAAGTAATATTTCACAGAACTTTTTTTTTGACAGACATGAATATTAGGAGTTTGAGAGAGAAGTTGGAGTTTTTATGACTCACGGTATGCACAACGCAATTTCAGCTCCAAGATCTTGAAGCAGGTCAGCGAAGAACTGAAGTGGGTACAGCTCCTCAATCACACACCTTTTCTGTCCACCAGGACAAAATAACACACATGATGCACATATATTACATGCATTGTAAAAAAAATAAAAAAATAAAAAATGGTATATGTGTTGGTTATGCTGTTAAAATTACCAGTGCAGTGTGAAGAAGACCGGGCTGTTGCCTGAGGAGGGCCAAGATCTTCCTTACAAAAGAAGGTGACCGATCAGCCTGTAAAAGCTGGTGTAGGTCCTGGCAGCTCACACCCTGACTCAGTGTTCCCAGGCTCCTGAACACACACACACACACAGACACACAGACGCGAGAGTCGAACAGTAAAGATGATGCACAGCGCGTCACAGATGTGACAATTAGGTCGATGAAAACAGAAACATTCCTGCTACTCTTTTCTACTTATAAAACCAAAGAATGCCACATGGCAGAAACAAAAATATACTTACAGAAAATTTTGCTTGATTTGATTTGTGTAAGTATTAACCGCCTTGACAATTGCTTGAGCCTGTAGGATAAAATGGAAAAAAAAAAAAAAAAAGGTTTTAATGCATGTTAATTTCTGTTAATTTTCAAGATGTGATACAAGGATGAAGTGGCATCAAAACGCAAGTTGTTTGGATGATTTAACTGCTCAATAATCACAATTCTGAGGAAGTACAAAGAACTCAAACATTTCTGATAGTGCTGCCAATCCTGTAAAAATTTAAAACATCTCTGACATCTGCACAGAAAGCATGTGTGTGTGTGTGTGTGTGGTAGGCAGCAGGTTAGCATGTGTTGAGCTTCGATTACAGTTGAAGCAGAATTTTTTATTAAATCTCTCAAGTAATTTTACACGTTTTCAAATTCAGTGGCAGCTCTGTGATACCTGCTGTGTTTTCCAGGGTTTCGTGGCGGTATTGGAGAGATTTTTCACAAGAAGCGGAGTTCTTGGAAGGATACATATCAGAGGCGTCCATCTGAGCAGAGGCTCCACGTCGTCCAACCAGCTGACAACTTCAGGGAAGCCCTAAAAAAAAAAAAAAAAAAAAAAAAAAAAAAAAAATCATGTAGCAAATCACTTCTACAAATAAAGATCTAAATCTTTGATTTTCAATTTTTTTTTTTTTTGGATCTTCTATTCAAATTTGAACTTTCAAACAGAACCTGTCTGTACTGAAAATGACATCAGTGTGAATAAGCCACGTATCTTCAGTACCCATAGTTTCGTGGCAATGGCGTTTGCTTCCGGCGCACAGAAGACAGACATGTATGGCCGGCAGCGAGCGGGAGTGTGTTGAGCGAAGACCTTCAAGGCGGAGAGCAGTTTGTCAGAGGTGAGAGACAGGAGGGTCTCTGTCTTTACACCAACAATGAGGGAACCGAGCTCCTCCAGCTGGACTGGGATCCGCTGGGGAGAGGGAAGGGCGGCGTGAGGCTACACATGACACGAAGCTTGTCCACACAGCATTCAGTCTATTAAGAGTTTAAGTTTTAACTCACTGCGTTAGTTAGAAGTTTGTCCATTATTATGGAGGCCTTTAGAACACAAAGAATGAACACAAGCTGCTGTTAAACCTACTCCCCTAGAGCTTATTTAGTTACACAAAGGTTATCCAACCACCACTGCAAAATAAGTTTGTTGATACAATAAAAAATGTCAAGGTGTTTTCAACAAGAATATCTTGAGTAGTTTAAAAAAACTACTCCATTATCTTGCACACTTATCCTTGCAGGGTTGCCAGGGGTGCTGGTGCTTGTCTGTCATTGGGCGAGAGGCGGGGTACACCCTAGACAGGCTGCCAGTCTGTCGCACGGCAACACAGAGACAGACAGCACAAACAACCATGCACATAAACACACCAAAGGAGAATTTAAAGAAACCAGTCAACCTAAAAGTCATGTTTTTTTGGACTGTGGGAGGAAGCCGGAGTACCCGGAGTGAACCTACACATGCACAAGGAGAACATGCAAACTCCATGCTGACCTGGGAAAGATCCCAGGTCAGCATTTAAAAACAGGATTCTTTTGAAGGGCAACAGAGCTACTAACTGCGCCTCTGTGCAACCCTAAATTACCTAAATTATAACAGTTTATTTTTTAAAATCAACACTAAATCCAACTTTGATTCTGACCATAGCTGCTATGGTCATTTAGTGTCAAAACTATTCAGCCCCCTGAATAGAAACCAAACAACGGCTTCTTTGATTGCATCAGCTGCAAAAAGAACACTTCAAATAGCTGGACTGCTGTCAGTAAGGTATGGCTACTGACAGCTGTAAGGTCTTTGCGATTAGAATCTTAGTTCAGATTTTAATCATGGCTGGCCAAAACAAAAAGGAGCCCATTTTATTTAAGGTTCTTTAAAGCTACAGCCACAGACTGAAAGGGTCCAGTTAAACTCTACCTGTGTTGGAGTAAACGGTACGGTGCTGAGGGCAGGAAGAGCGGAGAGCAACTGGGACGTCGTCAGACCATTCAGGAAAGTTACGCTCAGCAGGGGCAGGAGTGGAGCGATCTCTTTCAGTCGGTCAGGACTGAGTGAGGATGGGATCTTAAACTCTGGGTTGCTCAGTAAGAGATCAGAAACCTGGACAAAGAATATGACTTGTCTTTATATATATATATATATATATATATATAAATAAGGAAAGAAGGGAATGATCCACTCCTACCAGCTGGCTGGGCACACTGAGTCCACTGAGTGTGCAGTTCATAATATTCTCTTGGATGACCTGGAAGACCTCAGTGTTTTTGTAAACAAGGAGATCCTGAGCCTCTGCGAGGCATAAGAGATCTCCCAATCTGAAATTAGAAACATTGTTTTAACACACATCAGGAGATCATGAACCCTACAGAAAGGAAAAACATAAACATGTCATCTTAGCACTAAACACATTCAGAAAAAGTTAATATTTTCATGAATTAATAGCAATCTTCTCAAGTGCAGCTATGGTCATTTTTCCCACTACTTAAAGATAAATGATGATTTTTTTTCTTATTATTATTTCTCTTATAGCTCATTCATTATAACTTTCATCATATAACAACAATAACCAGTTGTTATATGATGAAATTATAATAACCACTTGTTGCACAAGTTTTACATGTCTATAATATTGTCTCCTGGATGAGATAATATAAAAAATAATCCAACATGTTTTGTTGACCTCATTAGATCCTGAGCTGTCATGTTCCTGTAGGTCCTAATAAGTTTGTTGGCGATGAAATCCTGCTTTAGCGGCGAGAGGGTGTTTCTCTGCAGCACATCCAGTCCATCCAACAGCTGCAGACAAACATAAAGCATTGAAATATTGTAAATATTGCAGTTATTAAGGCTGTAACATTTACAGTGGTGCAATACAGTGTCTAGTGTCCACCACAATGATTAGCACTCTTGATATAAAAAGAAATAAAACATGTATAGATACAGAAAACCTATGAAAATGTAACATTTAATTTGTTTACATTTATCCAGGGTTTTGTACTAAATCACTTGAGCTCTTAGAACATTTCTTAATGTTATAACGGGGTATGCTTATAATGTGACACAGGGGCCCATCGTTTTTAGCTACTCTATAATGAGAACGATAAGAAAGTATACAATTTACATAAAGTATATATGTTTATAAGGTAGCCCACTTCCATCTTGATTTAATATGAAAGTAGAACTGTGACATAAAAATATTTTCCAACTATCTCAATGAGGAGCAGGAGCAGGTCAGGGTTAGAAAATTATTGCAATTCTTCTACACAAAAATACACATTTATTTTAAAAGGTTTTTTAAACATCAAACATACAAAGATTAAAAATAAACTAGGAGATGCAGATTTTATACATACACATAGTCTGATTTTAAATTATGAGATAAAGGGGATTTGGAGTTCTTACAATTTATCCTGACTTCAAGAGGACATAACTATTCAAACCAATATATACCCTAAAGTTTCTGATTATAATAAATGTGATTAATTAATCAATTATGATTAATAAAGTGACTGGACAGTAATGACATCTATGGAAGAGTTTCTTATCAAAAGAACTAATGACTAAAATGAAAATGAAGACATAGCTCACATTGAAGACCAAAGTTCCTCCAAGACTCACCACCAGATGTTGCAAACACTTGATGGAAACGTGGCCACCAAACATAGAACAACTAATTATTAGGTCGAGTGGACAGTTCAGTGTGTTTTTACTTTCTAAACGATTTCCATAAGAAGATTACTTCTAATAGCGATGGCAGACATTAGAAGAGGCGGCTGGTGAGACGCAGCTTTGTTGTGCCCCACAGCTAATCGAACGATGTCCTGGGTTCTCAGATTCCCCATCAGGGTGTCAGAGCTCAAAGGGACGTTACCTGAGCAGCTGAGAGGTGTTGGAAGAGGTGGAAAGGCAAGTAGGCGATCAGGTTTCCTGTGTCCCCGATGAGTGACTGTTGACCTCTAGTGATGTTGGAGGGAGATAAAATTTTGCTGTACCACAAGCCAAAGGCCTCCTGCTGAGCCAGGCTCATTCTGTCCAAGTTCGCGTTAATGGTCTCCCACCTAAGAGGAAACAAAAGCATCAGAAATGTTGTAAAAGCTTGTGAAATCCTTATTATGGCCTTCTTCTTTTTTTTTTTTTTTTTTTTTTTTAAAAAAAAGGTCATATACAAAATCTGACATCAAGACTCAGTTTTATAATGAACCATTTGAAAGTTTGAGGCACATTTAGTACGTAGTTTTTGTTAATAGATTAATGCTGAGCTGTTTTAATGATTACATTTACTGTCATAACAGTCTGAACAAAACCAAACTGTTATAACCTAAGCTTGCCTCATTTAATGTTTTGCAGGCATACTGATTTGCAGTGTTGTATTCAGGCTTGATTTCCAAAAGTCCAAGAAAAGATTTCTTTAGGTAGAAGATTACAAGAAACACAGGCTTTCCAAAGATTGAAATCTAGTCAGTGAGCGAGCTTCCTTTACTTTCTATACATAATGCATGTGGCTGTCGCCTTGTGGCACAATGAGACATTAGTTCTCACAGACGTCTGACACCAGAGATGTGTTCAGAGAAATATACAATGTATGTATGTAAATAAGTGAGATTTCGTTATCAAATATAACTGGGGGGAAAAAAAATCCCTGAAATTCAGACATGAAGGGCTTATGATTTCTTGGAGGAATCAGTGCTGTGTCCACACAAAATGAACCTTCTTGAAAACAATCAAGGGTTTGGATCTTTTAGGTGTTTTCCCACTCACAACCTATGATGAAGAAATCATTTATTCTCATTAGTTTCTTTTAATCTGCTAAAAGTACCAACAGCAAAATGATCCCTCTTTTTTGTTGGATTAAACCGAAGCTTTATTGGATCCAAATAATCTCATGGACATTACCCTCAACAAAAATGAAAGCTGAAGCTATTACTTACAAATTGACATTGTTCTGTAAGGAGGGAAATGTCTTGATATCATCTGGACTGACTGCGACCAGCAGAGAACCCAGGTCAAGAAGAAGATCGTTATCTGCTGCTAGGTGGGTCTTAAGTATCACTGACACCATGGTCGACTGGTACTCTTTAGATAACTGGTAAAATGAGCAACAACAATGCAGTTTGTGAACATACAGTACACTGAGAAGTGGAGGAATGATAAAATTGAAAGTTCAACCACCTGTATGGTGCCCTTGAAACTGTTGTAATACTGGAGGATTACTCTGATGGTGTTGATATGTGCTGCAGCCAGCACCGGCTGCACGCTTCTCAAAGGCAAGCTGAGGTACTCCTAAACAGAAGGAGAACAAAACAAACACCACTAGAGGTCAAACTCAAATAGTAAGGGGATCATTGAATCATGGAGCAACATTGAGATTGGGGATGTGTCCAACCTTGATTAAAAGGAGTGCAATGCCGATCTTGTCTCTTGATGTCTCCAGCAGTCTGCTGAGAACTGTCTGCAGCAAGAACACACATAGACAAGTTTTACAGCACTTGTGACTGGTATACTGTTGGCATACATTACTGTAAAAATGTATTGAAGATTACTTTAGTTATTCTTTCACAGAGGCATATGTTAAACTCTTATTACCCCTCCCGTAACCCCCACCCCCACATACACACTATTTTCAGGTCATTTCTTTTATGAGACCAATATCAGGGGAACTGATTCAAGCCTCTTTCCTCTGACTGCCTTCAGAAGTCATAAATTCTAAGTAGAGCCCAAATTTCTGGTTCTTTCCTAAACCTGTTGCCTAAATAAAATTACTGTATTTTCCGCACTATAAGGCGCACCTAAAAACCTTCAATTTCCTCAAAAGCCGACAGTGCGCTTTATAATCCGGTGTGGCTTATATATGGACCAATATTGAGCCACAACAGGTCTAGCAACTACGGTAAGCGGCTGCCAACTTCATTTTCGCCCGTAGAAGAAGAAGCGCGCGGTGCATGCTGGGATAGTTGTCAGAACGCTGAACGTTAATAAAGTTTGACTGACCCATCTACCTACCTATCTGAAAATCAGGTCTTTTGCGGGTCATTTAGCACCACGTTCTCCACGAACATGCTGTGCGCGAACGGAGAAGGGTGACCATCCTACGGCCCAGTCGTGAAGGCTCTCCTCACCGACTGGAGTCGGACTGTTTTGTTGGCATTCTTTATGTCAACAAAGTGGCTTTAGACATTCATCTTTTAGTGCAGCTCCATCTAGTGGATGCATAATGTAACTCCAGTCTCTATAGCATCTATTCTATGCGCCTTATAATGCGGTGCGCCTTATATATGAAAAAAGTTTTAAAAGAGGCCATTCATTGAAGGTGCGCCTTATAACCTGGTGCGCCTTATAGTGTGGAAAATACGGTAATAAAAAAGCTTGTCTTCTTTGTTTCAAACCATGACGAAATGAGGCAATGACCCCAGGTGTTTGCACAACACTAGTAATTGTTAACTTAGGTGTAACCATGTAGAGATTACACCGGGCTGCGAAGACTTATCACATCAGTATCAATTACAGTAATCAGACACCAGCAACAAGCTGGAGGTCAAATGTGCATATGTAGTAATGAAAACTGATTTGATGCATGTTTACATCAATAATAAACTAAAAGCAGAGCTACACAGAAAATATGTCAATCTTTGTGTCTAATCTTTAGTACTGCCAACCATTCAACAGATTTCAACACATTATTGTTATCCTCAGTCTCAGTTCTCAGCAGAATCTACTACCTACCCCGAAACACTGTAGCAAGACCTTCTTCCTGTCCTGGTTGATTTCTCTCTGTAAGTAGTCAACAACAGATGTCAGAGTACTTTGTTCTATGGCGTTGTTGACTTGCCAAATGGGACCCATAGAGTCCTCCACAGCCAGCAGGATCACCACAGTTGCAGCAACTGCCCGATTCAACACTTCAGTCACAGGTGTAGTCAGCAGATCCTCCATCCTGGAGTTCAGTCTCTCCACCCAGCAGCGCACGATCATCTGCAAAACCGTGTTCTGACTGGGACAAGGCTTACAGTCTGGGATGAAGTACTGTGGGCACATGAAGCTGAACTGCTTGATCAGAGTTTGTGATGCACAATCATTGGGTTTTGTAGTGGTGCTGTTGTTGGTGGTGGTGTAGTTGGTGTAGGCCGTACAGATGTTGCTCACCCAGGCTGTGGAAGGTTCCCGGGACAGAAACAAGAGGACGCCAACGTTGGGGCAAATAGATGAGATGAAATTGGCCTGGTCTTTCTCCCAGCAGTGAACCAGGAGCTTTGCATTTGGAAGAGAAGTGATCCAGTTGGAGTACAGACACTGCTCAGTGGCATTGATTCCAGGTTGGATGGTCTGTCCTCCTGGAGTAGGAATCACTGAATAATTGCCGCAGTACCGTATCAGCCAGGCGTTGTCCTGATTGGCCAGCAGGTTCTGAAGGACTGTGCTATTAGTACAGACTTTGGAGGTGAAGTTCTGTTGGTCAATCTCAGCACACAAAGCAAGATCAGTCATGTCCACGATGATGGGACGGGTCCAGTCAGAGTACGTGCACACCTAAATGACAGACAGCATACAACAAAGACTGAAAGTTAATACGAAACAAACATCCTGAGTTTCTTTAAATGAATAAAGTCTTAATATGGACTGAAGTAGGTTATACTGTGCATTAATTAAGCTATTGGTAATGGGCTGTGGACCAACATAATCGTAATAGTAAGTAGCTGTAGGCTTTCATATCAATAATTGTCTAATACAGACTAATGGCTTTGTAAATATCCATACACGATTTGGAGTTGTTTTTTTGAGATGGCATAAATAATTTTTGAGATCTGCTTCATAATCAGACATAGACCAGATGTTTCTGAGCTGGTTTGGACAGAAATCTATCACTGAGAAAATAAAAACTGCTCATCACAACTTTCCACTCAGGGAAAAAATTATTTTGTACATCCTCGAAGCAAATTGTGTATTTTAGTATAAACAAGATCTACAGGCTTCTTATTTACTTTAGTGACTGTTTCCATGTCACAATACATTGCATTAAAATGAACTGTAAAAGCTTAGTTTTTGTTTGGCTAACTATTTTTATGGATTATTACAAAGCATGCCAGTCACCTTTTTGTGTTTTTAGAGTTTTTGAAAACATTTTCTGTACTCATTACTTCCATTAAACAAAATTAAAATAAGTATTTTCATTTTGTTAAATACCACCTTATAAGGTGCTCACCTCTGGTGTCATGGTTATTTCTTCCAGGTCGGTGCAGACAGATGTGAGCCATTTGTTCAGAGGGTTTTCCAGAAGCTTTTCAAACACAGCTGTCTTGCAGCACACGTTCTCCTGAAAGGAGACCTGATCGTTCTGCCAGCAGAGGCCGACGACTGAATCATCTACCCACTTCTCAGCCCAGTTGTGGTAGTCGCACCATGCTGCCAGGTTAAAGGATGGTGTTGGCCCAGGGGGAGGAGAAACCATAGAGGTGCTGCAGTGGGACTCGAGCCATGCAATCTCTTTATTTTGCAGAAGGCTGTTCAGAAACGTTTTGTTCTGACAGACCTCTCTCGCGAATCCGCTCTGATCAACGCGGATGCACTTTGACAAAATGTCTGTGGTAATCTGCATCACGTCATGCCACTCTGAGTACTGGCAGTAATCCGGCTCTAACTCAGGGTAGGTGAACAGTGGTGGAGATGAGCCTGAACAGTTGGGCATCAGCGGCCAGTTGTCAGGATTGGAGATGAGAAGCATCAAGAATCCAGTGTGCTCACAGATGAGACTGGTCAGTCTTGGAGCATCAAAGCTGAAGCAGAACTGCAACAGGGCGGAGTCCACTACCTGAGCAGGCTGGTTGAGCCACTGCTCGTACATGCAGAACTGATTCACCAGGTATGCGGCGCCGGCAGAGAAGTTGGAACAAAATGCATACAGCCAACGGTTCTTCTGGTCTGACAGCAATTTCTTCATCAGTGAAGCATTGTTACAGACCTGCCCCACAAACTGCATCTGGTCATTTTCACTGCAGAAAGTCACAAGAACAGCATCTACAGTGTTGTTCACCCAGCTGCTGTAGTCACAGGCGAGCTGTCGGAGGCTTGAGACCTCCCTGGCGACTCGACGGAGAGCAGATGGAGAGACCAACTGAGACTCATTCAGAGGGCTGGAGACAGCCGAAGGCTGCGCGTCCCCAACCACACAGTCAGACGACTTGCTGACGAGTGGAGAAAACAGCGCCTGAAAAATATAACACATGTTGCTCCACACAAGCGCCAGCTGGCTGCTGCTCAGGGAGCTCAGGGCCTGGCAAAATGTTATCAGAGACGATCCATTTCCTAAACCCATGAGGACATCAGCACACAGAGTGTCATTGAGAGCAGCCAGGTTGTGATGATCACACGTGATCTCGTAGTTGACATAGGTGTGATTGTTTAGCTGTGGTGCGCTGCGCTGGAACAGGAGGCTGGAAGGAATCAGGCACTCTGAAGGCAAGAAGGTTTCCAGGAGGATGTCAACAAGTGGCATGCCAAAAGACCAACTCACATTGTGCTTTAGTCCCCTGAAAAAACATCCAATTATTAGTCATTTTGCTGCAAAACAGTAGAAAGTGACTTGAAACTTACAGATTGATTAAAAGGTGCACTAGTAGTGATGTACTGCTTTTCTGTTCCTGATCCGCACATCTAATGTGAATTTGGTAACATTACCAACATTTTTAATATTTTTAAGAATCATAAACCTGAATTCAAAACCATACAGGGTTTTGTGGGATTGCTTTACATTTGAATTTGCAACCAAAAATGAACTTCCTTTTAAAAGCAATCTCTATTTTCAGGTAGTGTTTTGTTAGCAAAGCCAGTGAACAGCTAATGACTCACCACATAATTAGCTGCTTCAGATCTCCTGCAGAATAAAAGGAAAACAATAATTAGCGCAGATACACAGAAGCGTTCATGTTGTAATCAAATAAAGACACACTTCACCTTGCTTGCAGGTATCTTGTTCGTCCGGAGATGGGACCTCGATTCCAAACTCTAAAGCTATTCTGACATAGTCCAGTGGTGTTTCAAGAAACAGTGCTGTGAAATGCAACACATTTGTCGCAAGAGAATCGAGAAGGCTGCTCAGAATTTTCGTCAGGTTCTCAGACAGCGTAAGGTTCGACAGCATATTGATGAACATCTGCTGGAAGCCACTGAATGCTGCCGTGACTGTGTCCCCAATGTTCAGGTAGGTCCCAAAGAAGCTCCTCGTCTCTCCTTCGGTGGTCAGTGGAGTACATGTCTGAGATTTGAGCGAGGAGAAAAACATCAGCAGCGGCTGGGCCATCTCCAGAGACACCGCCTTTGTTAGCTCTGCCATTAGCCCACAGTCCTGCCTCTCTGAGAGAAGGCAAACCAGGATTTTGGGCAGGTCATCAAAGAATCCCTCGTTCATCAGTGGTTGGAAAAGGCTGTTGAGGTTACTCAGGATGCTATAATACATATTGAGGTTGAGGGGCTCCTCTGACAAAGGGATGGCAAAGTTGCGTGTGTTTCCAGCAGAGAGGGAGTGGATTTCTTTAATAACCTTTTGGATGTCCTCCTCTAACTTGCTGTTCTCAGCGGGCGTCACGTTGGTTTGTCTCGCGGCTAATCTGGCTTGTGAACGCACTAGCTTGACGTTACATATCATCCCTGTTTAAATAAGAAGAAAAATAAATCCCTCAGAAGCATCACCATACAAAATTTATACACACAACTATTGCATTAAGGTCTATTTGAACTAAAAATTGAAATAGTGTCTAAACCTCAATACTGTTCAAAGGTTTTAAACCACTTCCATTTTTCTATATTATGCCTCCAAGGATCCAGACTTACTTTCAACCCTGATGCAAGAAGGTGCTTTTTCTATATGGTGATAAATATTAAAATACATTATCAAGTCATGACAACACTAAAAAGCAAGAACTGTAGTAACTAAACAATGTCGACTGAACTCTATCCAGCATTTTTCAAAAGCTATTTTCATATATTTAAAAAAGAATTCCTAAAGCAACACTAACACTGAAAAACTTTGAACAGAGTAAACTGAGAATTTCCTATTGGGATTGAATATTATTATACAACTAGAACAAAGTATTGCCACATTATGGGAGATGTGCAAATCCATCCTTGCACTGAAAGAGTTCTGCAGTACGATGCGTCTCTGAGAATGTAAGAAGCATACTGAGAGACATTTTACTATGCTGAAGATGAGCAGTGATGGGAATTCATGAATTTGAACACTACGTACCATAAAGGTGCCAAATTACTTGTAAGCAGCACATTTGGAATGTAAATGCATGTGGATGTGAGTGGGTGTAAAAGGATGAAAGCACCTTTGCAGCTACAACGGCTACAGGAATAAATGCAGAGCCACATTTTTCCCAGTGTTTTAACAGATCAGTTACTTCCGACATGTCAGTGTTAGTTTTGCCATCAAAATGTATCTAGTTTTAACTTATTTTAATGTTTTACATGTGCCACCTCTTTTCTCATTCATGCCACTGCTGTAGTCCCCCTAAGATTTCTAGAATTGCTCCTGGTGTTAAAATAAATAGGCAGGGATGGAGACAAACGAGCGCTTCGTTCTCAAGAATTTTCTTTCTTGATACATAAAATGGTCAGTGAAAAGGTTCAGCATCATTATTTCAGACAGCCAGATTAATTTATTTAACTTACCAAATAGGATGCAAACCATACAGACAGCTGGTGAAGACCACATTTCGTCCTCAGAAGAAGGCGGGCAATAACTCCAACTGAATACAAGTTTTTAAAAATTATTTTCGCGCTATCCTGTTACCACAGAGAAAACATCTGGCAGAGGCAGAACCGGATGAAGAAGAGGTTTCATACTGGATGAGACTGTAAATGTTTTCACAGTAACATACATTAAGCCCCTCTCAGCGCTTGATGCCCATTTAGTAGATGGTCCCTCTGTGGTCTGTGAAGAAACGGGCTCCTCACCTCCACCTGCAACTCTGCACCCGATCCGACTGGGGCGTAATTAAAGAGACCTGGAACGGGGAAATGGAGGTGAGAAACGAGGGCTGTGAAACGCAGGAGGGATTTTGACAACAAGCACATCAATCGATGCTGCATTATTAACAGAGCGTGCGGATTAAATCTTCCGTCTGAAACCCGACTCCAGCCAGAGGAGTCAGAAGACACCAGACTGACTGCTGGAGGAGTTACCTGACAGCTGCTGCCGACGCTTTGATCAGCGGCCTGCAACTCCTATTTACAAGCTGACCGGGAAGATGTTAACTGGCAGAGAAAGTGATGGAAAAAATATGTAGATCAGCAATTATACGGCTTTAGTATTTAACAAAATACTAATACTATTTGTTCTTATTTAAGCACCTGAGGTATAAATGACGTTTGCACAGCTATGTGTACTTCTTGAACTTTTCCAGTTTTAGACAAATCACAAGAGCAAACCTCAGAGTATAATATTGGTATTTCATGTGATGATGGAGCAACACAAAGAAACACGGTTTCCATGGTTTTCAAAATCAAAGCAAAAAGAAATGCTAAGAATCTGATAAGTGATAAATTCAACGTTTGTAGTTGGTGCCCAATTAAGTGTCTAGAACCATTGTTCACTTAATTTCCATCCACGAGTGTTTGGGGGCATTTCTCCAAGTTTGTACATTGAAAGGTTGTAATTTTTTGTCCATTCTTGACTGCAATGAAATAATTTTAATTGAATTGTAAATTGTTTGACTTTATGTATAACTGCTCCAAATTAGGGATATACAATTAAACCTGTAAAACTCACAAAGACAACCTTGAGCTGGATATCAAATCTACAAACCTGTACATTCTAGACTTTGTATTAAGGCGTAATTTATATATTAACCGTTTGTATTGGAGTAACAAATGTAAGGTTGTGAGCGGCATACAATGTCAAGTTAATCTAAAAGAATAATTCTTATCCTGACTAATAATCCATCTTACTTGTCTGAAGAGCAAAGTGTAAAAGTTTATTTTAAATATTCAAAACCAGAGGCTATTATTTTAGTAGTCACAGGGAAAAAAAAAAAAAAAAATTCATTCCGAGGTCAACTCATATAAGTAGTTTTAAATTAGGCCGAGTATGTTGGGCTCATCACCTGAATGTGCGAGTAAACATAATGCAGATATCATTTTAAAATGGTGAGCAGGAATAAAAACCAAAGAAACGAGTCTTTTTTTCATTTTAAAACTTTGTTTCAGAAATTCAATGTAACTGTATATACACTTTACAATAGCATACAGCCTGACAGATAACAAAGATGTCTGAAAACATTAAATACATCGTCAGCACAGACAGCAATTGTTGCAAGTAAAATGGCTTAACGGATATTGGTAAAAAATAAAATCATTAACAGGAGCACTCTTTTGCAGAAAAATGTCACGATTTCGATTTGTTTCATGACTTTCCCCACAAAGCAAGCTGCATTGTCTACATGCTAAGTTTAACCGTTCTTTGACAGTCCTAAACTAAAACACAGATATCCGTAAGAAAAGAAAACAAAAACCCAAAAAACAAAACAAAACACCCCATCTGATGTAAAGTTAAATCTTCATTAATACATTTAAAGTAGATATGTCATGCCTTTTTAAAAAAAGAATCAAAAATACAAAAGATTTTCCTTATTTTAAGGATTTTTTTTTCCATACAAGAAGCTGCATGTATTGTACAACACTCAGTGTACAATAAACTGGTAATGCACATAAAAATGAGCTGAATGAAAAGTCTCCAATGCCTCCCTCTCTGATCCTTCAGAAAGGCAGCAACACAAAAATAGCACACCGTCAAACTGAGGAAACAAGCGAGCTGGGGGAACATCACACACAGGAAGTGAGGCTTGCATAAAGATGGCAGTCAGGATTGGTGAAATTGAGAAATGTCTCCATTCCAAGTGCATTTGAATAATTTCCTTACTTTTATTTTATCATTTTTAGTTCTTAAACATGTGCTGCCAGTTTCTTTTTTTTTTTCAGTGACGAAGCCAAAGCACAACACAGAATATTTGGAAATATGTTTTTAAGCCTTCACCCCATGTGTAGTTTACATTCATAGTCAGAACATATTTACTCAAAACATTCTGATTAAACATCACCGTCGTCTCCTCACCGTCTCCCCCCCATTAAAAAAAAAGTAAAATCAGGCAACCATCTAAGCAGATGGGAAACAACTTCTGCGCTGAAAGATTTTAAGGTTTTGATTGGGAAATTTTACACATGGAGACAAAGTCAAACAACGCAAACAGCACCCACTGTCTCTGTGTTTCAATGTCTGCAGACCGAGAAGGTTTGATTGTCTCTCTTTTTGCTATTAACTTTTTTTTTTTTTGTTTTTGGACAATTGCACAATTATTGCCCAAAGAAGAAACTTGGGAGAACAGAGATTGCATGGCACTGTACAGGCAACTAAAAACACTCACATTTCACTTAACGCAAAATGCACAATAATTTCATCTGAACACAAACGAAACAAGAAAAAAAAAAAAAGAAAAAAAAAAAATCCAACGTTGAGCGCAAACTTTTCAGCAGTCGACTGTGACCGTTTGGTTTTCTGTCGTCACCAACGTGTTAGTTTGGCCTAAACGTTCAGGCTGAAATGAGCTAAAAGAGGAAATAAAGCATTCTTATGTTGCCACTCTTGAACAACATTTTAAATTTACTGGAAAAAAAATGTTTAGGTGGGGCTTGGGGGGGGATTCAAATAAACCGGGTGCCGCCAATCTGAGATCTAGCAAACGCGTCAGCCGTGAGCAGACGTTAACACTGGCAAAGATGTGCTACATTTATCATGATGCTACCGATAGAGCCTTTAAATGACACAGTACAACTTAAAGAAAAGAGTACGGATTTTTAGCCAGAACACTTGATTAAGAGGAAAAGACAATACTGATTACAGTTAGATGACAAAGTAAAAGTTACTACTGATAAAGCATGTAGAGACCGTCTGAAAATGAATCCCCGCTAATTTTCACAATTTACAGCTAAGATTAGTCCCGATAATTAAGGAGCAACATGCCTACGGTAAGGCGATCACAACAATTCATCATGACTTCGAATGAGAGCGAAGCTTTAATATCCCAGACTAATTTAAAGTTTAAGTCATAAGTGGACTGTTATGAATATGCACCCATGATGTTTTTTTTTTGTTTGTTTGTTTTGTTTTTTTAAAAAGGCTTCCACTAAAACTCACAGGACCTCTTCTAAAAATGCATCTTACAAAATAAGCAAAACATCTCGGAAATACTATCTTAAGAAAAAGAAAACAATGAAAGACCAAGATTTACCGGGAAAAAAACAAAAACCTACAATATAAACTCGACAGAGCTACAGAGGAATGCATATTTGTTTTTAAAAGCTACAGATTGGAAATTTGCCCGCTCATCAGATCAGTGAGTGTGAATATACATGGATTGATTCACCGACCCATCATTCCTGCTGAACAACAACAAGGGAGAATTGAAAAAAAGATCTGCAGAGTGTCATTTTGTCAGAGTCAACAGGGTGAGCACCAGGAAGGGCTGATGTGGCGTTCAGGGACTCAGGGAAGAGTTCCTCTTTACCTGTTCATATCCACTAAACCAGCACCAAGACTTCAGAGTTTAGAGTGGAGCTCATTTCTGGCTCCACAGCTGGAGAGTCGCATAAAAAGAGGAGTCTACATGGGTATGTTTATAACGTGTGCAATTTCCCTCTATGGATTTTCTGTTAGAAAATTACCCCTAGGTAAAAAAAAAAAAAAAAGTATTTTTTCCCCCCAAACAAACAAACAAACAAAAAAAAAAGGCTAATTTTTTTTAAAGTAATGGCAATGCTGTATTTTGTATTCCAAAGAGAGGCTTTTTTACACGCATGTTGATTTCAGTCTTATCCTGCTGCTTCGTTGTGACGCACCGCAAGCTGGTTTCAATCAGGAGGCAAAAGGTCGTGAAGTCGGAACCTCTCCCGAACATGTGGTCGCACATCTTCGTTCTGACACGTTCAGGAAGGACGGAAACAGGTAAAAAAAAAAAAAGAAAGACAAAATTAGAATATATTTAGTCTTATTAACAAATTTTAACATGGAAGGCATTCAACTACGTTGCCTACCCAACCTGGTGAACGCGACCCTGGAGTACAGCAATGTTAGTTTAAGAAACAAATGCTATTTACGACTTGGCTAATAAAATAAATAATAATTTTACATGCAAATTTCAGAAAGATCAATACGAAGAATATTTAATAAAAATGCATGGGAAGACTGCTGACCAGGAATTTTAATGGAAAGTTGAGTCGGTGGATAAAGTGTGGTAGAAAACAGACCACATGCAAAGGGCTTTGGTCTGACGCTTCTAGGGGATTGTGAAGCAAAGCATATGTAAAGGTTTGGGGGACATTTAGAAGGCGCCGAGTGCAGCTGGAGTCAGAGCTCATTGAAGCACAGATGTGTCCAGACCATGGCCTGTAATTGTGGCATTAGTCGAATTAAACTACTCCTAAACCGGAGACGACAAAATTTTTTTTATACGATTTTCTGCAAAATGAGCCCAAACGCCGAGACCATGTAGTGTACAGACTTCTCAGTTGACCAACATCTGCTACACCAATAACCATTTTTAAGCTAATCTTAGGCATCAATTTCAAAGAAAATGAACTTTGCCCATTTATTTCATTAGCTGAAAACCATAATCATCAAATTTAATTAAACACCTCTTCGGTTGTGAAATACATGTCTAAAATGTTATTTTCCATTTGAATAACTATAAAAATGAACAATTTATTGAGATGTTGATCCAAACAAAGTGAAGCGTAGCCCAGCTTACCATCTCAACCAGCTTCTCCAGAAACGGGACCAGCTTTAGCAGCTCGTTGTCGTTCTTATCCATGAACCAGCTCTCTATTGGAATCCCATTGGACAACTGTTCAGACAAAAGGGCAACTCGTGAGGAAGGATCCATGCAAGCTTACCTCAATTCTGGTGACCAAATATTCATTCGTTCCTTTTGTGCAGATAATAGACTGAAATGATGTAATTTATTATGTTTACTCTCAGTAAATCAGTGGCATTCATTTGAACATGGTGGAGTGTTGTGATTTTGTTAAGTGATCTTTACTGCCTGGTTGCTAAACTGTAAATGTTGTGAAACTGTTTTGTTTGAAAAATATTTTCATCCTGGCAAATATTTAGGCTTTTTTCAGTTAGTGGCTCAGAGGGCAACAACTTTACTGATCTGCTGTGAATCATTATTTTTGCCTCAAAAGTGATGAGACATTTGCATGGCAAACACAGAAAAAAAAAGAAGAAAAAATAAATAAAATTTAAAGATGAAAATTCAACTTTATTATGAATCCCTACAAGAAGTCAACATAAAATTAAAAAGAAAAAAAAAAATCTGAGAATTGGTCATTTTTTCTGTTCACAAATACCTTCCAGGCTGAGTCAGACTTTTTGCTGCATTTTTTTTTTTTTTTTTTACCTGATAAGCAAAGGCTTGCGGTGAATTGTCAATGATGATGGTCTTTGACAGATCTCTGCCTAAGATGTTGAGGTCCTTGATATAGTTTCCCTGGACACAGACACAATGCTCACGAAATAACCGGTGTCTACAGTTACAATAGGGAGGGAGAGGAGAACAGAAAGGAGCAGAGGAGTAAGGAAAAACAATCAGTGACAGCGTCAGCAAAAATCAATAATTTATGAAAACCACAACAATGACACCTAACAGCAGCGCATGCCAACTCAGGTACTTTACACTAATGCTTCGCGAGTCCAACTTTGTTTTATAGCAGTCGACACGAAAATGTAAGGATACTGTACAACAACCAGTTAATAAAAAACAAAAACAAAACTCATCGTACCTCACAAGCTGCTTTTTAGGATCCAAAATGTTGAGTAGTTTGTCTGCATACACCTTTTTAGAAGCCGTGAAAAGGATTATCTAGAAAAGATAAGATCATGCTGGTTTCAATGTTCAAAACACAGAAATGACTAAAAGGAGCATCTAAGTGAAATTTACCTCATATATTTGAGACATGCGCTCCAGAAACTCTCTGAAAAACGGCCTGAGGCGCACATACACCTGCACAGGACAGATCACGCTTTAGAGATGACTTTGCCACCCTCTAGTGGCAACATGTGGGAATGGAAAAAACACTAACCTGGTAAATGACATCTTGAAAGAGAACAGGGAAGGTAAGTGCTGCATCCTCTAGTTCATTTAAGCTGCAGTGAACTAACGTTTCATCCTATTCAGAAAAAAAAAAAAAAAAAAAAAAAAAGTAAATTTTTTTGTCATCTAGCAAAAGCTCCAGGTTTAAGACCAGAATATGTTTTGGACATTTTTAACGGACCAAGTCGAGGACCAGAGAGAACTCAGGCGTGCTGCGTGTCTTCAGTGGCAAGGCTGGTTTACGGGTCAGCTGCTCTTCTGTCAGCGGAGGAACGTGCTTGATGAAGAAATACCTACAGAACAAAAACAAATAATCAGTCAAATCACAAAACACTGGGAACACTCCTACCAGAAATATGACATTTTCTTGATTGTTTAGTTAACATACAAGAAGCAGCATGCTACAAATAATCCGTTGTCAACTTTTCCCTATTTGCTCCCAGTAGTTTGTATTTCTGCTAGAATGATAGCATTGGACATAGATTATTTTCTTTTTACTCCACTCACTAATTTGTGTTACTTACGGATCAAACACTTCCCAATCTTCCTCGTAGGACGCCTCTGGTGGCACGGTAGCAGGAGGAACATCCACATACGTCACATTCATATGAGAACCTGGAGCTTGAAGCACAACAGGAACACATAAAAAAACAACAAAAAAAAAAAAAAAAGAAAAAAAGTTAAGCAGCTTCATTTTCTGCTTAGTCGTCTGTGACGTGGTACCCGTCAGAGGCGGGAGGTCAACGTCGGCATCGAGCTCTTCTTCCTCTGCCGTAGGAGTCGCCTCAAGGATGTGTGGAGGCCGTAGAGGCGGCAGGTGCGATACGCTGGAGTAGAAGTTGTTACCGGGGCACAGGTCCTGAGTGGACGTGGCTGTGCTGGTGGGCGTCTCCACCACCTGCTCCATGTCCAGCTGCTTCACTATCTCCTCAGCCTCCAGGGCCTGGTCAGGGGAGTCTGAGCCCGAGGATGCTGGGAAAACAAACACGCTTATTGGTGACAGATCAGACACAAAACTAGAACTCCACTATGACAATTTACTATAAAAAAGGAAAAATGTAACTTTTTTTTTTTTTTAAAGAAGATAATGCTGCCGCAACACCACGTATAAAAACGTAGAATAACACGACTTTAAAAATGACACCAAGGTTTTAAGCAAAAATAAATTACATTTTTCTTTAAAGAAAACAAACAAATAGATTTTACTGATATTAGAAATTACTTTTAGCTGGTGAGAAGAAGTTAAAAACCGGGCTGAAGATCGTCCCAAGCAGCGTGGTCCTGGGAGGACTGGAGGTCATCTCAGCCGCAGTCGTTTCCTCCAGGCTGCCGTTGGGCTTCTCCTTATTCCTGTCATGATTGGTCGCTTCTGCAGGGAAGAAACACAAGGCTCAAGAGATGTTTAAAAAAAAAAAAAAAAATAGAATTCCGCTGATATATTTAATCTTTTTGGTTAATCATCGGTGACTTACGGCCATTGATGGTGCCTTTCTTGCCTACTCTGCTTGCACTCCTCCGGGGGGAGTTGGCGTTTGTGGGAGTGGAGGTTATGAGGTTATTGTCCACGTCGCAGTGGAGGCGTGTCTTCTTTGCTGGGCTTTCCTGTTGCAACTGACAAAAAGAAACAGCTGTAAAGACTAGAAAAAGACAAATTAAAAATTGAAGCACATCCACACTTAAGCAATTCACCGACTGCAGGTTTTTGACACAGACTTCAAATTTGAGCCACATAAAAGAAAAACCACCTGTAGTGGGAACTTTCCCACCACCGCTCTGCAAGTTTCAGAATGACTGAATAACCTTTAAATCGCCGTGTAGAAAGCAGACTATGCTTCAAACTTCCAAAGGGCACTGGTCTAGATTAACCGCAATTCTTGACAAAAATAATGTATTATTTTCAGATTTAAATCACTGTTATATGCTTTGTGTTAACACCAGGAAAGAAAATGTATTGAGGAAATAATTATTTAAAACTTGGAGAAAAAAAAAAAGAATCATAAGAAAATTAAAAAAAATAAAAAAAATCTGAGAGCTTCTATAGAAAAGCCTTTTAGCTGAGTTGACTTTTCCATTCGCAACAAGCTCTTGTCCCTGCACGCCAACATTGTGAGCTAAAAGCTAAAATTAGACCAGAACCCGAGTTCTCGGACAAGCTGCTGCATTCCAGCAGACATTTCTTAGGAAACACGACACTCCGTAGCCAGAAACGCTGCGTTTGAGGTGGGGACGACGCAGTCAATCCAACTTTAACCGGGTGCTTCCTGGCAGTTTTCAAAACTGTTGAGGTAAACACCAAGCAGGAGCACCACCTCTACGCCAATGGCCGTGCCTTAGTGACGGGTGCGGTGGTAGGAGAGGTACCTTGACAGCATTTCCTCGGATGAACTTCTTGATGGTGGATAGTATTCCCCTTCCTCCGCTGGCGGGAGGGTCTTCTTCTACCTCTGAATGTCTCCTCTTGGTTCGGGACGTGCGGCTGGTCAGAGCGGGTTTTTGGTGCTGAGACGCCTTACGCATTCTCAGCCTCATTGTTTTAGCAGTCACATGTAAAGCTGTTGCAAGGAGAACAGAAGACGTTTAGGAACGAGCAAATACAGAGTGAAAACATGCCGAACGTACAGGAAAATTGCAAACATATTTTTTCTTTTCCTTTTTTTGAAATAACTGTAGGTCTCAAAGATGCGCCTGTGCGCAACTGAGCAATATTGGTTCCGTTTCTGCCGACATCTGGATGCATTCAAGATCCCATTTCACTTACATCAGAGAATCGCAGCTGGCTTTACTTCCATTGTGCAGTCAGGAAAAGGAGCATTTCTCCAGATCATATAATAAACAAGTTTTATAAACACTACCTAGGAACGATGACATGGGGTGCAAGATCAAAGCTCCAGTCACAGCAACAAAATAAAGATTAATGTGACCACAAGCCATCGACTAAACGTTAAGATTCATGGGGCGACATAAACCAAGACGTCTGTGGAGATTTCACAGTCATTCTTTGAGACTGAGCAGCTCAGCGTTATGTACTGGAGAGCAACACATTAACCATTAATCACACGAAGCCCTCTTTCCTTATGTAACAAAACGAAATGTGTCCAGACATATCCGCAACCAGTCAGGAACCACTCCAGATGCAACAGCGCCTTCTCGGTACGAGCTGAACACGCTGCGCACTGTAAATGTCCTTCGCCACATCTGGTTTACATTTGCACAACAGCGTAACCGTGAGTAGGGAATAAGAGATGTTCAATTCGACGCACAGACAAAAAAAAAAAAGAAGAGAAAAGAAAAAGGGGAAAAAAAAAAGGGACAACTTTTAGAAAGTACAGAGTAACATTTAACTTGCAGGAAAGCAGGGGGAAGAAAGGAAGGATAAGCAAGAATGTTGCAACTGTTCAGAGAAATAAGTTCAACTGAAGGGAGTGAAACTAAAGTCAGTTTAAGTAAAGTTGTTTAGAAATTACAGACTATTATAGAACATATGCTTAAGATGCTGTGATGTATCCGTGCATTAAATTCAGGGTTTCACCCAGTGTATTATAAGCCTGGCGGGCTACCAGGCTTTACTTGTGGCCCCCACCAGGCTCACCATTGCTTATTTATTCAAGTCTTTTCAAAATGTTTGCATTTCTTAAGACTACATAGTTGGTGTTCAGGTGTTAATCTTCCACTCTTTCAATAACACATAATTATCAAGTGATAATTTTCAAATTTCCTGTCAACTTTATACATTTTTTAACTCAAAAGCACGACTGGCTGCTGGATGAATGGCGGCCCTAGCGCCCAACCACCAGGATTAGCGAGTTTTCTGGGGGAAACCTTGAAATTCCAACAATTTTTACAACTATATCAATATTTTACTATGTGCTGCTAATCTAAGGATCCCATAGTTGCCACAAATCAGCAAACACAACAGATTGCTTACATGTTTCTTGTCATTTCATATCACAGCCTCAATCTCCAGCATCACAAACTATAATAGTTTTGAATACACATTTTATCCCACATAATCTTAAATTATTTTAAAATTCAATTATCCAGCATTGTAAACAAACATTTCAGAATAATATGTTTTAAGAAAGCAGGCGTGGTTGAAATAAACCTTTTTTAAAAAAAAAACATAATTTGAGGTAAAAATTATAAAAGATCTCTGCGTTTGATCGCTGCCGTAGTTCCGTGCATAGGGATGTAGTTTTCTTGTTTTGAAATTCATTATGTCTTTATTTTATCTCACAAAAAGAACCATATTTAAATGTGTTAATTTAATTCCCTATTTTTTACCTACATATAATTCTGACAATCCAAGATGCTTTTTAAATATAAGAATGTAACCAATCTTATATTTGACCTTCAGCTGCCTGAATCGTTTGTTGTCCATTCTTAAATCAGGGCAAAATTACAGTCGTTTTTACTTACAGACACATAAACGGCTTTCAGACTTTTTAGCTGCGCAGTCGCATCTCTCAGTCAAATATGACGAATAACTCAAACTGGTGTTCATTCAAACATTTTACCCAAGTGGGTGGTTTCCCCCCCAAAGCCAATCATTTTTTTATGATAGTCCTTTAGTCTTGACGTTCGCTTCTTTAAATTATGCAGCACATCTCTAACATTTTACAACGCAGCTGCATTAAAAATTGAATGGAGAAAATCTGTGATACCTAAACACTGCATGATCTGACAGGGAAGAGGGCAACACTGAAGCGGCAACACATAACATCCACCTTTCCAGGCAATCAGCCACGGATCATGCACACTGCTGGCTGAGTGTAAGTGAGCGGGAAATAGGAACATCCATGCAACTGTGAGGAGGCTAGCATTAGTTAGCTCTGGTCAGAGCGAAGAAACAAGTGAGGCCCTTCCACAAACCTGTCCGGACGACGGAAACAAATATCGAGACTAAAAGGAGAAGCTTGGCTCAGAATCGAAAGTAACTCAGTCAATGACATTTAGCCAAAGCCTATGTAATTATTCAAAACCACTGTCTGACAAATGGTTACGAAAGTTGCAGCAAATAAATCCCATAAAAAAAAACAAGAAAAAAAAAGAAAGAAAGAAAAGCTCTCCTGTGTTACGGGTGTGTACAAGTTGCTTTCTTTAGCTGCTGAGTTTAGGTACAAGTAGCCGTGCTAAAAAGTAACTGTTGTTGTCACGGACAGTCTAAGTTCAACTGGACCTGAAGAGCATTAGCATTTGAACATGCCAAAACCTAAACAGACCATCTTACCATCGCCAAGCCAGTGCGGCATCATAACCTGAATGACATGAAGTCAAAAAATAATAAGGCTTATAAATTAAATCAACATCGTTTAGGTTGCCGATGTGCTTCTAGCAGTGAATATTTGACATCGTTAATCAAAGCGGACAGCACAATAACGCCGCTAAATCTGATCTAGTCTCTTTTCAGTGGAACTATTTGGAGGGTAATTCACCTTATCAAATATATAGATTTATTTAAACTTATTTTTGATATGGTACAGTACTTTAAAAATGCTGTTGTAGACCGCCATCGTAAAGCGCTGCTCTGGAATGCCAACCTGAACGTTAGCTTCACTAGCTGGCTAAATACACAGCCAGGCAACAGTTTGTTAAAAAAATATTTTTTTTAACTAATAACAACGACATTTGCTGTATGTCTGGATATATATGAAATACGTATTTACTGAAGGACTTCGTATCAAATTGAATAAAGCCTGAATTTGAATAAAATGTGAGGAAATAGTCATGTCGACGGTAGGCCGCGAATTAGCCATTCTTAGCTTCACGCTACGAAGCCTTCCCGCAGAACTGCTTCAGGCTAACAGATGTGCACAGGCATGGAGAGGAGCATAAATCTTCCCTCAGTAGCTTCGATTACATAAACACAAACCCAAGAGCATAAAGGATGCACGAACAGTTAAAATTGGCGACTTACTGTAGTGTGACCCGCTGTACGTGACAATAACGACTCAAGGCAGATTAAACATCACAACACAGGCACTGCTTGTTCTTTTCCCCCCACTGTTGTATTTTTGCTGTTCAAGGATCGTCTTCGAAATGACACACTGCTGTGCTACCAGGCGCCATTTCCCGCCTCTGCTCGGTCTCTCCGAGCCAGATACCCGTATGGGACACAGACACACCCCCTGACTTACCTCTAAAAAACACCAGGCAATCCGCAGCAAGCACTGCAGCTGTAGAATCACAGACTGAGAGGTTTCGATGTGCGCTTAAATATGCTGGCGATAAAACTAAACTTATCTCATCATTGTAGAATTTAAACCCAACAGCGATTTTCAACCTGGCAATATAAGAACAACATACAATACAATTTTGCACGGAGTGGTCTCCCCCTCGGCTGTGTTTTCATTGGGAGGGGGGAAATATGTGTACTGCTGCACACAGAAGAAACATTGTGTCTCCCCCCACCCCCACAGTTTGTTCTCTTAAACAATCATTTTACTTCATATAATAAACAGCGTTGACACAATTTTCCAGACCAGAAATTCTGTAATTTTCAATTGGGCTTATGTTTTATATCCAAGTACAAATATAAAAACCAGAGATTCGCTGAAATTGACTGAAAAATTACCAGAAACAGTATTTGGTAAATAAACGTAACAATCCTACATGTAGTAAAATTACTTATCTCAAGTTTCAGCAAGTTACATTTAAATTAATTGGAATACAAAGGTTAACTTCTTCAGTAACTTGACGTTTAGCTTACACTAACTTAGGCTGAGTAAACACAAATTGGTTATCTTAGTTTTTGTTTGAATTTGGACCCAAAATCATTTAACTTTACAAACTTTTTATAAACTAGTTCACAAGCCTGAAATCTGTTTTACAACTGAAACCAAGTGTAAAACAAGGAGATGGTACATTTCAATTCCCTAACTAATCGTTAGATCATTATTATCAGCTAATAGACTGAAAATTAGAACATACCCAAGACATTTCATAAGATGACTACATTTTAAAACGTAGGAATGTAAATACATTTTAGTACAATTACCATGTTTAAGGGTTTTTCTTGTGTACACCCACTGCATGGCATATACAACTAATGGTATTTACTTTAGCACTGCAAATTTTAACCCTAACACTAAGCAGTTATTCGCTTTTGTTGCACAGCAATGTTCTGGTAAGTGCAGTGTATATCCAAGGTAAATAGGAAACAAGTCTGAGTCATTGGGAGTCTGATGATGCAGTAAATGCATCACAGGCAGATGTAAAAAATAGAAAAAAGGTAATTGTTGAAGCAATGTATTTCAGACCTTACAGTTTCAATCATTAACATAAACAAATAAACCAGCTCAGTTAGCACAAATGTTTACCACACAAATCCAGAACTGTAATTTTCATACAACTGCATAATATGAAGTTGTTGTACTTCATCAAATGTTTTAATTCTGTATTTTGAACTTTAATCAAGGTTATTAAACTTGATTTAATATGTTTTTTGGGAAGTTTATTGTTCAGCTTTATTACCCGTCAATGAATGCAGAAGAAAATTATTTTTTCATGGCTAAAACTGATCAGTCTGTAAAATACTCATGCTAATTATAATGCAAGAGATGCCTTTGAAAACAAGGAAAAGTAAACACAGACTCTTGAAAATGTAAATGTCACATTTAAACTTAATGGCAAAAGCAAACAAAATTACAGTATGTAATTAGATATTTTTTGTGTTAGTTCCTGAAGTTTCCACACTTATGTACAGTCACTGACCCTTTCTCAAAACAGCTTCCAAAATAAAGCATTTACAGAAAAATGATTTTATAACAAAATTTAGTATTCGTTAATTCCATCAAGCAAGGCAATGATGAATATTTCCGATAAACGATACAATATTTCAGAGGTTGTTTACATTAGAAGCCGTGTCAACTAAACCCATCTCATTAGTGATGACGAGCCATCACTCCTACTGCCAATCTGCAAGCGCAACAAGTGACGAAAGACATGAAGCATCACCTTTAATAAAATTAAATTACATTCAATGCGCCTTTCAGTGAGAAATCTTTTGTCCAGGTTGCACAAACAACTGATTTCTGGTTTTACAGATTTCCCCGAAGGTGAGGAATTATTTCCTTGGTACAAATGTTAGCAGTTCAACTACATCAAAATTCAAGAGACCTCATCGGTGGAAGCATGTGCCATGTCTGCTCCTAACACCATCCTAAGTATTGCTTAAGCAGCAAGTGTGTTGCTTAGTTTTGACGACTGAACACTTTGTTTCACATGCAGTGGCATTTAAAAACAGAATGGAGGAGCACTTCTGGGTCTCTGTCACAAAAACAAAGAGGTTTTAATAGGCGGTAAAGTCCTTGGCAACTGAATCTCCCACTCCAGTAAAAGAAAAAAAAAGTCTTCATTGTAGGCATTCCATCTTAAAGAGCCCAGATTAGTTTGTTTGATGAATATCCCAGGAAGCAGTTTTTATATATATATATATATATATATATATATATATATCAAGCAAAAGCAAAGAGAAAGTAGCTAAAGAACAAAAATATTTGATTCAAAGTATTGAACCCTCCCAGACCAGTTTATGATAAACTGAAGAAGTTATCCAGGACCAAAATGCAGTGATCACAGCACATCATCCCTACTGTCATAACTTAAAAAAACAAAAAAAACATTAGCAATTATATAGCAGCTCAGGAGAATGCCATGTTTAATTTCTATTAATATTATTCAGAATTAATTTAATGTGTCAAAATAGTCCATGACACTAAAGAAGTCCGCTGTAAGTGCTTAGACAAGGTGATGCTGCAACTAATTTATCAGGAGAAACCTCGACTGCAGAGGAAGGTCTTTAAGGAAGTTTTTTTTTAATAAGTTATAGCTGAGTGAGTTTCTTTTCAAAGAATGTCGTTGTTTTGATGTCGTTTCCCATAATCCACAGCTCTTTCTCTGTCCTGAATGTCCCGATCGTCATCATCTGGAAAAGAAAAAGTCAAACCGACATTAGAGATTAATTACCAAGTGAAAGGAAATGTTTAATGTTGATATGCACTAGAAATCTATGGTCGATATTTCTATAGGGCAGACTTTCAACATAAAACCTGAAAAAAAAGAGCAAGAAAGGAAGGAAGAAGATATAGTAGAAAAGGCATGAAGAAGGTAGATAAAGAATAAGAAAAAAGAAAGATAAGGGAGAAGGGAAATAAGGAAGGGAGAAATTGTCCTATGAGATCAATATGTATTTTTATTTTAACTGAATTGAAAAAAAAAAAAAAAAACACAAGACAAAATGAAGAAGGAAAGAAGGCATCAAAATGGAAGAAAGAAGGATAAAAAAAACTATGAAATGGGGAATAAAGTCTAATATCATATTTACATTTTCCTTTCCTAATTCTTGAATCAAATTCCAAACTTTTCCAGACTGATTAGGAACTTTAAGTCCCCAATTTCCAGATGACAAATAAAATAAAAAAGACCTTTCCTATATATATATATATATATATTTTTTTTTTTAATCAAATGTATACATTAATCATGCACAAAATAATCTGTTATTCATAAGAACAAGAATACACATGACAAAACTATGTTCAAGTGGCAAGTCAGGATGTTTTTTGTGCGCACAGATCAATTATTTAAAACACTTTTCTATAGCGAAGGAGGCAATGGAAGGAAACAGTGTTAGGAAGCAATCACAAAGAAAACAAACAGAGGCATGCACTTCAATGTTACAAGGAGAACACAGAAACATTCAGTAACACAGCGAGCTATATATATATCTACTGGTTTAGATGTAGGTCAGATGTTTGGTGGGCACAGACAGGTGGTTTAGCTAAAAAGCACAGGCACGATGGAAAATACTAGATGGCAACTGAATAACTCTCACAGAACCGCAAGTTCAAGGGTCAAAATTTCCCTGTATATAAGAATATGTTTTTTTTTAATTATTTTTAATGAACATTTACATTTATTTTTGATCCAACGACCAGACTCGGGGTACTGTGAGCTACTCTGGACCAGTGCAGCGGGGCTGCAGCAGAATGTGGGGTGGAGGGAGGAAACAAGGGAGGAATGGTGGATACACACTGGACACACAGTCCACAGTTCCGGGGGCTCAGGCCTGGCTCACCTTGAACGTCTTCCTCCCCACCATCACCATCCTCTTCCTCATTGTAGGCCAGCTCGGCCTGCTTGTCGGCCTCATACTCACCAACGTTCCCGTCGTCCCCATTGTAGTCCGCCAGCTTAGAGCCGTGCTGCGGATCTACTGGGGACTCGTTCTCATCAAAGAACCGGCCTGCAGGAGGCAGAGAAGGGCCTCGTCAGGAAAGAAGGGAAGCAGCGGCAGTCGTGGTGGGAGGCAATAGGTGTGTGGGGACGGGGAGAAACCAAGTAATAACCAATGCTTGGAGGAGTGAGTGATGGTACACAGAGGATGAGGTTAATACATGGAGAAAGGTTTTAATTTTGGGAGACAGGCGTTTCTGAGGAGGAAGGCCGTAGATAGGCTGAAGCAGCACCATGAAAAAGAAAAAAAAAAAAGTGAATTTTTTTTCTTATAAAAAAAAAAAAAAAAGAACTGAGCAGTAACTGAAACATCTGTGCAGTCCACTCAATCACACCAACCCAGAGACATTTTTGTTGGAAAAGAGAAACGGTCATTTTAACACTTCACCGTTTCTCTTCGTCGCTTCGGCTCATTTCTCAGGTTAGGATTGAAATTCTTAAAACTACTTATTCAATCTTCAAATCATTGAATCACTTATGCACATAAAAAATAATAATAAAATGAATCACTTCTGCAAAGCTTTTGTACATTCATGTAATTGATAATGTACAATTCTTAGATTTTTCCTACACTTGTGTTGATTAAAATGTACTATACTGAATAATCTCAACCTACACAACATATAAGCATAAGTTTATCACATGACTCTTTAGATGCAATATGCTTGAACAAGTTGCCATAATATGTCAAGCATATTTCTTAGACTTTGTTTTTCTAAATCTTTCCTGATTTTTTTTTTTTTTTTTTTTACATTGCTCCCTGGTGAATCCCGACTTTCTCCAAAGTCGGCAAATGTATGAACTATTACATCCACCAATGATCAACCAGTTTTCTGAAAGCTAGATATCATGAACCATTCCAAGTATATGGTGTATAT